GTTGCCACCTGCACTTCAAACCTAGGCCTTCAGGAAATTGATTTGAAAGGGGCTGTATTTCCTCCCCTATCAGTAGTTTTAAGGTTATATAGCCATGGTGATACCACGGTGATATTAATGTATCTCTTCTAATTGGATGCATGTGATGTGGTATCATTGCTAACTGTACAAATTCCATGCTTGCAACTCATGCTTTGCCCTAATGCTCAGTTGCATCGGGGGAGATTATCTGGCATGTATAAGGATTTTCATAATATATGCTCAGATGTAGAAATTTATTTGCCGCAGGCCATGTGCTGCTGCTTCTGCTTTATCCTGAGGTGGATCCTTACTGGTTGGTACAAGTGAGGATACAACATCGAGCGGGACTACCTTATTTGATGGGGGGATTGTTGTATCATTTGATCCCCAGCTCTGGGAAACGAGCAACTTACCTTACATATGTCGTTATCTTTTGGTAGGAAGACAAATTCCACTATGTTGCTGCTGGTGTTGACACAATAACCTAGACAAAACCACCCATACTTGAGCTGAAACAATACTGTTGGATTGTGTATATTTCTGATCTGAGATGAATGGAGAATTTTGTAAGAGAAATTTTGATGTTGAACATGTGTAGGTGAGGCTAAGTCCATACTCAGTTTCTCTCATTTTTGCTGTTGAATAAATGTGATGCCACTGGTAACATTTTTTGTTTGATTATACTTTGTATTGAGTATTTTGTTCTAGTAGCTCTGGGTTGTTTATTGTTAGTTTGCAGTGCTCAAAGTGATGGTAATCACACACATAATGTAGTCCTTGAAAAGAAGCCTAGGCGAAGTGTTCTGAGCATGATAGGGGTTGTTGAGGTCGTGGCTCGTCTAATTTTCAGATCTTTACTACAAATGTGATCCAAGGATTTCGGTGCACTATTTGGGTCAAGTAGAATACAATAACTTTTTGGAAATATTTCAGGAGTGTTTGAAACAAAATAAAAACGACTAAAAAAGATATTATTGTTAGAATATTCTAAAATATTAATCAAAATATATGAAAACATCTTAAAATACCTTGAACACATATTGAAATATTGTTACAAATATGTTGAAATATTGATAAAAATATGTTGAAATATTTCAAAACACATTGAAATATTTTGATTTCGATTTAATCACTATTTCGTTTTGTCACTTTGAAAATAAAAATGTTTCGATTGTGTTTTTGAAATGAAAATTTTAATCGTGAGATTATGATTTTTCTTCGACTATAAATTAATGCATCATGTGTAAATTAATGTGCGAAAAAAATTTCTCTACTTCCAAAGATAAAATTATGTATATTTACCTCTCATCAGACTTCGTAATAGCAAAATTTCGTACACTAGACATGTCTTTTTTTAGAATTTTGTGTGCAAATCACCTCTATTTGTAGGAATAAGATTGCGCGCATCTAGTTTTTCTCAGATTTCGCAATAACAAGAATCTCGTAGATTAGATACACTTTTTTTTACATGTAAGTTTATGCAAGTTAAAATATGAGGGCAAGGAGATCAAGCACTGGGCTGTAATTCATTAGCATACGTATGTTTTTTGGATGTAAAGAATTTCATAAGACATGTCACACTTGTTCCCATGAAAAGGCACCAATTAGATTGCCCAAGTGAGCTGTTATCTTCCAATTCCCAACCTTTCTAGTCGATTTCAATTAAGTGGCTGGCTTCAATTCATTCCAAGATGCAAGGAAACAAATCACAGCCAGAAGCAGGTAAATGAACCAGATAAAATCCAAAAATGGCTCATAACTTTTCCAATTGAATCACCCATATATCCAACAGCTGCCACAACTACCACTAGTTCCAAAAGGATTTACAACCATCTTTTTAAATTTCCATCACTTCCAAACTCCTCTTCCAGTTTTGCCTCCAATAACAAATGAAAGAGAGAAAAAAATAGAAAGGGGAGAGGGGGGGGGGGGGGGGGTAGTGGAGAAACTATTAACTGATACCAAGTAAGAAGTGTAACGATAATTAGGAATATGCAAATAATGCAGAACCCGGTACAACTTGTGCTTAATCTTTCTATTTGTTCAAAAAAGAAGGATGATCTTCGCTGCTGGACAATGACATCTCACTTCTGAAATTTTAGCCTTGATAGAAACGGATAAGCAAAGCCCAATCAACTAATAAAAAACCCACAAACATATGATCTCCTCGTCCCAACTGCATGGGGAATCCGGAAGCTATTTAGTCAATATCCATACCCTTCTCTTTTTCATCGTTTCTGCTTGACCATAGTTTGATAGTCCGATCATGTGAAACCGTTGCAATATATTGTCCGTCTGCCACCAAATAATGAAAATAAGTTGAGTCACTAATAAATGGATAACCTTAATACAAGAAAAAATAATAATATATTGATTTGACAATTTTAAATTGACAAAAAAGGTTATACGAACAGTAACCTACTCAAATAAATACATTGAGACATTTTTCATGCATACTTCCTTATTCCACTAAGGAAGAATTATATTCCGAATTTAAAGCCAAAAATGAGCTCAGTTACTGAATCTTACACACCTGGAAAAGAAGAGTTAAAGGAAATAATTTTTGATAGTAGAGTCAAGAAAATAATGATCCCTTTAAAATTGCCACTAAATCTTCCTCATTGTTGTTTAAGGCACAACGAGGCACTAATGGAACTTGGGGCCAAGGGGAGAGGCGAGGCACAAGCTACATTGAAGCAAGGCGCACGCTGCTAACGAGCAATGTTTTAACACTGGCAAGTTTTATTATTGGAAAGACATTCACATAAACCATAAGAATTACAAGCCACAACCAGCAACCACAAACGGACATTTCGAAAAGACATCACATAATCATTCCGAAAATCATAAAAACATCCATGTTCTATTCTAGATCTTTTTTATTAGTTTTGGTCGAATGCTGTGTCCCTATTCAATCAATCAAACAATTTTAAATTGTTCAATTCATCAAGTATGAGCAAACAATAGCGAGCAATTAAACAGCTCAAGGATCCAAATACAATCAAATACACAATTAAAAGATGGGTTAATATCACTTTTAATCTCTAAAGTATGTATTTTTTATTAATTTAGTTCTTATTGTATCAATTTTGTCAATTTGGTCCCTAAAGTATTCAATTCATTTCAATTTGGTCCTTACATAGAAAGACCGCCAATTTTTGACGGAAGTGATCACGTGTCATTTTTTTTAGACGGTATCATGTGCCCCACACGTGATCATTCTGCCAAAAAACTTGATGGTCCATTTATGTAGGGACCAAAATGACATGAATTGCATACTTTAGGGACTAAAATGACGTGAATTGAATACTTTAGGGACCAAATTAACAAAATTAATACAATGAAGACTAAAGTGACAAAAAATAGATACTTTAGGGACCAAAAGTGTTATAATCCCTTAACAGATTAAGTCATTAAAGGACCCAATCAAACACAATAATGTAATATTCAATTGAATGGTAATAACATCACAGATCATAAAATCAAGACAAAATGACAAAAAATCAAAGTTAGAAGTAGGTTTTTGAAACTATAGTTCCAATGTGCGTGATGTATATAAGAAATTTCAGTCAAAATCAATCAATCCAATGGCCTAAAAATACATTATAGAGCGCGAAAAAAGCCCATGCTCAAGTGTCTGTGTCTAAGGCTTAAGCCTAAGCTCGTATCTCAATTCTGCTTCAGCGACGCCACTTGACCTCAAGCTCGTTGAGGCACTTTAGATGCGCTTTGCCTCATGCCCCAGGTACGAGTTCAAAACAATGATCTCCCCAATCAAGAATTATGTAATACAAAGCACATTCATCATTATATAAAATACATTTTCAATATCATCATGCTTTCCGGGCGGAGTTCATCAAATGTCGCTATTGTTCATTACCATTATCATTTTGTTTCTCGGCATATTGTGTAGCACTAAACCGATGAATTTTATGTTATCTCAGATTCAAACTACATAGCTCTTGACCCACGCACTTATGAAAGAGCAGCATCACAAGCATTACACATTTGGCACCATGCCATCTAACGAGATAAATCGAGGTCTAAAAACTCATGACCAGGTAAATTCGCACTAAAATTCGAGAAAGTGAAATTAAGAAAGCACCATTTGTTAAAGGAATCTAGTATCGTGCCAACCTATGTATTTATGTGCACCCCAAAAGTGTGCTCGAGTCCATACACCATATGGTTTCCTCCAGGAACACAATTAATGCCACACAAACTATATGATGAGGTCATAAACAGTTCATGTAGGAAAATTTGCCCCCGTCCACAATGGTTCTTGTACAACTCCCCCCCCCCCTCTCTCTCTCTCTCTCTCTCTCTCTCTCAGAATACCGTCTCTCAATGTGCACATGCATGTGCATTAGTATGTGTGTGCACATGCTTGGCCAAATTTATAGCTCACTCAGAACACAAACTCAAAGTGGGTATAGCAAGACAAATTGCAATACATTGGGGGCTGGCTGGTTAACAAGAAATTAAGGGTGTAAAGTGGAAGTGAAAGAAAGTGATTTTTTTTTTTTTTTTGAACTAGGAAAGCAAAATGAAATGAAAACAAATCTTACGGGTATGCATTTGATTATAATTAGAATTTCTCAAGAAAGTTGTCGGAAAATTTTAGTTTATTTTTCAGAAAGCGTATAACACAAGAGAACTTTTATTCTTATCCAAATTGCCCCCACATATTTCAAATTTATTATAATTGATTTATCATAAACCAAGACCCCTTTTAAAACCTACAAACATTACTATATTACAAGACTCAGGTAGGAGTATGAACAATAATTGACAAATAAAAAATAGTAAGGAAAAAGAGATAAATTGGAAATTCTAATTACCAAGACCACTTTCTTGGAAGAGTCTTCATTTTGTTCTGCTTTTTCAAGGAAAAAAATCAGTTATCCGGTTCCTTTATCCCTATCTACGGCTGACTCAATAAGCAAACCATTTAAATGGCCGCCTAAGGCCCTAGAAAAGAAGAGCCCCAAATAATAGTAGTCCTTATGAAAGTCCAAAACAATTTTGAAACAAGAAGGACCAAGCAACTGCTCTTGGAAGACCCTAGCAACTACCCCCCTCCCCCCAAAAAAAAAAAAAAACCCCAAATGAAAGTTACATTCTATAAAGCCGTAATGCCTCCAACGGTCACATGCAAGACAAAAACACATTAACAGCTCAAGAAGTCTACCTCCCTTCCCCAAAAAAATACACCACTCCATTAATGGGAACCAACAACAGTACCTAATAAAACATATCAAAAGCACGAGACTCCCACCCCTTGGAGTTTGGTAGGGTTGTTGATAAATCTAAAACAAGCCTAGGGCTGCCATCTCTTGTCTACTTTCTCTCCAGAATCCATAATTGGACAATTTCTAACTCTACACCCAAAAAAAAAAAAGGAAGCATACATGCACAACCAAAAATCTACGGCCATGGCATCTCCCCTTCTCTCCGTAATCCATTTTTTCTTTCCACACGTATGTTGGAGTGGAAAGGTATTGAATTTTTTTATAGATAATTACTCTTTTTTATTTATTGGGAAGGTTAGAGTTATTAAACGATTTGATTTTGGGGGAAAAACAAAGTCATGTACAATTTTTCAATTACCAGGTGCTATTGTTGTATTACTGTTGAGTTTCGTAAAATTATATTATAATACTAATAAATTTAGAATGGGGGCTATTTAAAACTTTCACTTAGGGCCTCAATTTCTATCGACTCAACTTGGCCTCTATATAAACAAACAAACCCTATGATGCACTGAGCCGACTAGACTCCTGCTCCATGTGCTCTAATCATGGATGCCCACAACTGCTATCTACCAAAGGTATAACAAGAACACAGCCAAAATATTACATATCAAATTATTTAAAAAGGTGCAGAAATCAGAGTTATAAATCCTATATTAGTTTCTGTAGAGTTAAACAAACTCACCTCCTACTACATCCAATGCTGTAACTTTAGCTTCATGACCAGACAATGTTTTGACAGGCTTGAAGTCCCTTGATGACCATACCTGACAAATAAATCCAAGATTAGGAGGTGCATATATAAGAATGAACTAAGCAAATTAAGAATGCATTTTGTAGAGGACAATCACGATTGATGGAGAGGTATACCTTGGCTGTCGTATCATATGAAGCAGTTACCAGAAAGTATCCTTCTTGGGGCTCAAATTTAACTTGAGAAATAAGATTCGAGTGAGCTGGTATTGTATATAAGGATTTTTTCTTCCTTAAGTCCCAAATTCGACAGGTATTATCTTCACCACCCGTGGCTAAATGATAGCCATTGGGAGAAAAACTAACAGCAAGAACCTGAAAAGAAACCAAATTAAATACATTTCAGTGACCAATTATGAGTTAACATTTCAGACCCCTTCTCCCTTCTTTCTCCCAACATAGAGAGAGAGAGAGAGAGAGAGAGAGAGAGAGAGAGAGAGAGAGAAGAATGACAATATGATAAGGAAATGAGTCTTACCGGCTTAACATGACCTTCCAAGGCAAGAATACTTCTCCCAGACCGTAGGTCCCATACACGAGCAAGTGCATCAAGCCCACAAGATGCAGCTAAAGAACCATCATGGTGAAAAGAAATCCCATATACGCTTCTACTGTGACCTTCTTGGAGTAGCAATTCTTCACCAGTCTCTACATCCCATAATCTCCAAGTCTTGTCAAAGCTAGTTGTGCCTAAATACTTCCCTGATGGATGGAAGGCAATACGAGCAAGACGATCCAAATGCCCTTCAAATGTCTTCAGAAGAGACCCTTCAGAATTCCATAACCTTGCTGTCCGGTCAGCAGAGGCAGTAGCTATATAATTGTCCATAGGAGAAAATGCAACATCAGTACCACGTTCTGTGTGCCCCTTTAAAGTAGAAACCTTCTTTACTTGAGGCATGCTCCACAACTTTGCAACTCCATTTAATGCACTAGAACAAAACAAAACAAAACAAGAACTTACAAAGTTATATCAAATGTTATTGCAACTTTTTCAGTGACTCTACTTTGATGTGTTACATTTAGAAACACCAAATAAGCATTTTTTTTCTATAGAAAAAGTAATGGTTAATCTTTTCCACTGTACAATGACCAAAGTTTTAATGCTCTGCATACAGTAAAGGAAGAAACAGCCATTCAAATATCAAAACAAACGAATTATTGTATATGACCTCATATACAAGTAAAGGCTAGTTAATTATTTCAGTGTCTCTTGAGAATGAATTGCAAATACTGGGAGGAGGGGGCAACATCATTTCAGAAAGACCAACATGAAGGAGAAATGAACCATTAGCAACTAATTAATGCTAGTATAAAGAAAATGGAAAAGATTAGAACATGTCCCAACTTTATCAGAACATAAAAATATCTCCAAGTTTCAGAAGATAGACATCAAAGGCAACCCATACACATAATCTATAAAGCAAAACCAAAAATCTCAACAATAATATGAATCTTGGAGGGGGGGGGGGGGGGTTACCAGGTAGCAAGCATTGTTCCATCTTTTGAAAAAGAACATCCTGAAAGTGGCCGATCATCCCCGATTTCACTGCAATCCATGGCCAGGCTCCCGGCCTGCTTCAATGCCCAATCCACCTCTGCATCCAAGTCTTCATCTGGATCATCTTTTTTCCTTCTAGCACGATGAAGACGCAGAGCTGCCCTCACAATAGAATACTTAGCAATCTCTTTTCTTGCCTCTAAAAGAGCTTCCGACCCTTCTGTATAAAAAGGGTACTGAATCTCTTCCTCAGTTCCTTCTGCTTGTGCCAAAGGACCAGCAGCTTCTTCCTCCTCATGAGCTTTCATTAACATTTCCAGCTGCCCTTCAGCATCAAGCTTTGCCATAAGCATTCGCAAACGGTCCCGCCTCTCCATCTCCCTCTCTCCAAACAAAGTTATGGGTTCACCAAGGCGACGAAGCCGAGCCCTCACAGCCATGTCATTTGTAGGCACAGCGAGAGCAGCAGCGCGCCGCTTCATCAAAAATTCCTGCATTGCTTTCTCCTGTCTCTCTTTAATCAGCCTGCTCTCTTCCGAGACCTCGTACTCTGGGGCTGAAGCTCGATTGGGACCCGTTTCATCATCGTCGGAATCGGAATCACTGGCCTTTAATTCACCGTTTTGTGGCCGGAGAAGAGGTGGGCGGGGAGGGAGAGGCGCCAATGGGCGAGAAATCGAGGGTATGGGAGCAATAGTAGGCACGATTGGAGGTAGTATTACTGATGGAGTGAGAGATTGAAGTGGTTGAAGAGAAATAGAGTCCATAGCAGAAACCATGGGTTGATCATCAGCAACTACCACAGAAGGTTCTTCAGCTGAACTCGACACTGCATTTTCTTCGTCTATCTCCATAAGGACTGACCTAGAAAACACTCTAAATCAACAATTGGTGTACACACACTGTCACACACACATATTAGGGTTCTAATGAAATTTTAAACAAGTAATTGATTGGAACCACAAAATGAGAGTCACACACAGAGAGAGAAGGGATTGACGTACCTAGGGTTTGTGAAAGAGAGTTGACAACACCTCTTAGGATTTGGACGGGGTTGGAGTTGCAGCCACTGAAGAGAGGGATAGGTTTCAATGGCTATGGAGTTGCGGCCACTGAAGAGAGGGATTGCTTTGGATGGCGACGGAGTTGCAGAGAGGGATTTCACTGAACAGAGGGATCTGTCTCTCCTTCTCCAGACAAATGTAAAAGAGTAAACTACACAAATAGCCCTTAAACTATAACACTTATGTCAATTAAGTCTCTAATTTTTTTTCTTGTTCATTTAAGCTCTTGAACTTTTTAATTGTTTCAATTAAATCTTTCTGTCTGCACCCGTTTGAATGTGTCATTTACATGACTATATGATACAAAAAAACAAGATTCATTTAAAGAATTAGAGAGTTCAATGACTCAACTGACAAAAAAATAAAAAATAAAATTAAAGACTTAATTAATATAAGAGTTATAATTTGAAATTATACGTATAGTTTAGTTTAACTATCTGTGATGACCCCGATAGAAAATCTAAGAGGTAGACAAAAAAACTTAATTTGAAAAAAAAAATTTAGAGACACAAATGTTATAATTTGATGATTATATGTATAGTTTACCCATTATAAAATAAAAGGATTAAATGATCTTTTATACAATAGCAAAAAATAATTTTTTTCTTGGGTTCTTACCATAAAGTTAATTTTCTTACAAAAAATATTTAATGTAATAATTATATTATATCAGCAATATTAATGTGATATAATCATTTAATAAAAAAATAAATAATGAGACTTATTTTTTTTTTATCATAGAGGTGATTATATATCTATATAATAAAGTTGTTTACAATTTAAATCTAAAAAAATAAACAAAATAACTTTTGTTATTTGCGGTTGAGATCATTTTAAATTTTACTTTAAAGTTAATTTAACGGCTAATATTAATATCCTAAATTTAATAGGAAAAATAGGTATTTAAAAGTGTTTGGAGTAACTTTTTTAAAATATTTCTAAAAATTATTTCTCATAAATATTTTTAAACAAAAATAATGATTGAAATCATCCCGCCACTATCTCTACCACCACCACCAGTGTCACCGCCGCCATTATCATCACTGCCGCCGCTACCATCGCCACCACCACCACCACCACTGTCGCCACAATCACTGCTGCCACCACGGTCATTACCACTCACTACAACCATCACCATCTTTTACCACCACCACCGCCGCCCACCACCTCTCACCTCTACTACAAAGCATACATTCATTTATTTATTCTCTATGTTTGTGATTTGATTTTGAATATAAATACAAATATATTTATTGTTTATCAATTTGATTACTCTGTATCTTTAGGCGCAGACAATAACTAATTTATATAATAAAATAGCTTACAATTCAAATTTCAAAAGATAAATAAAATGACTTTTGCTTTTCGCTGTTCATATCGCTTTAAATTTTACTTTAAAGTTAATCTAATGGCTAATATTAACACCCTAAATTTAATAGGAATAATAAGCCCATAAGGGTATGTTTGAAGTGATTTTTTAAAAATACTCATAAAAATTATTTCTTATAAGTATTTTAAAAAATATATATTTGAAATTGCCCCACCATTACCTCTACCACTATCATCCTCATCACCACTACCTCTACCACTACCACCATCATCACCACCACCTCCATCACAGTCATTGTCACTCACCACAACTATCATCGTCTCCTACCACCACCACTGTCGCCCACCACCTCTCATCCCCCACTACGACCAATGCTTAAATTTATTTATCTCTCATTTATATTTATGATTTGATTTTAGATATGAATACAAATATGTTTACTGTTTACTATTTTTTATTATTCTGTGTCTTCAGACACAAGTAATAACTAGTTGAATAATATTATACAATCCAAATAAAATTCAAAAAATAATAACTCAAATGGATATCATTTTTTAAATGAGTGAGTCCATCGACTTTTTTGGTGAAACTCATTTATTCAAAAAATGATATATATTTAAATTATATTTTTTGAGTTTCATTTAAATTGTATAATATTTTTTTTTATGTATTATTAGATTGGGTGATTATGAATTTTTATGAAAATTATTTATAGATTTGTTTAGTAAATAATTGAATTAAATGATGTGATAAATTTTTGGTTGTCGTGGAATATTGTCCGACGCACTATTACGTCATCGGGGAGTTATAAGATGGTCTGTCGCCGTCGACGTCATGAGATGCCATGTAATATTCCAGGATACCTTTGCCTAATTACAAGAGTGACCTTATGTACATTTTTTACCCAAAATTATGTTTGATTGTAATTTAATTTGGTGTATCTTCAAACAAGGCATTTATTTTTAGAGCAATGCTATATGGACCTAATTTGAATACTTAATGATGTGATTTTAATGTAATTATTGAATTAGTTATGAATTTTAATGTTAGATGAAGTCCACAATCAATCTAATAGTTATACATCATTAAGTTCTTAAATAAGGTTTAAATAACATTTCTCTTATTTTTATGATTTTCAATTGCCTCTAAGCTATCTTCATGCAACTCCGCTTCATTTTTTTTGGTTAGTTTAACGATTAGGAGTATTCGAATTAATTTACATATATCTCTATTAATTTTATCTTTAATTCTGTCAAATACAAATTGTCTATGTCAAACCTAATCTTAAAGGATTGTGAATTCTACCCTTTAATCAAAATTGAATTTAGATCACACTCGTATAAAAAAAAAAGAGTAATTCACATTACTACAACCAAGTCACCGACTATTAACAAGAGGAAGAAAAGTTTAGTGCGAACCTTTTTCTTAAAATGAAACTATGAATAAGTTAAATGTATGCTATTGGGATAAAAATAAAATTGATTATCATATAACATGCCAACATTAATAGTAAAGGTAATTTTATGGTACCAAACTAAAAAATTTAGTACTGTACTTAAATTTATTATTTTTTAATGTCAAATTATATTTTAAAGGTGAAGTTATAACTATTTGAAGTAACTTTATGATCGATCATAAAATGTTACGATTGATCATGAATAATCTTCGATAAGTTATAACTTCACTTTTAAAAAATGTAATTTGACCTAAAAAAATACTAACTTTATCTTTGAAAATTATGATTTTCACAACTTTTTGAGCTATATCGTCTACAACAAAAAAATGTAATTTGACTTAAAAAAAGTATAATTTTTGATACAGTACGTAATCTTCCTCTATAATATGGGATTTGATTATAGTATTGCCAAAAAATTTTGGTATTATACTTTCAAAATTTACTATTTTAAAAGATGTTTTTATAATTTTTGTAGGTCATTTTACAACAAAAAAATTTATCACTTTTGTGGTTGATTTATCATTTTTGTGGATGTGTTAACACTTTTGTGGTAACTATTTTTACTACTTTTTCGGTACAAAAAAAATTATTATTTTTGTGGATAATTTATCACTTTTATGGGTTTTTTTTTTTATCACTATTGTGAGTTGTAATTATTTTTATCATTTTTTTGAGTAACATAGCAGTGGTAAAATTATTCACAACTATTGATGAGTCCAAAATTGATTGGGCCAAACCCAATTAATTTAAACCGAAAAAGCCAAATCAAAGTTGAGTCAACCCATCAAAAAGAGTCCAATTACCGGAGACTAAAAAGAATTTAATCTGCTCACAAGTTAAGAAGGAATCAAGTGAAGTCCAAGACAAAGGCCAACACCCATGGCTTGCTTCCCCTCTCCCACTTCTCCTCTCTAATGCAAGTCCGAGTTCACACCACTCCAAGTCTAAGTTCAAGATCCGAATCAACCCAGTTCAAAATCATCCTCCGACAAAATAGGCACACGAGCGAGAAAATATCAAGATGCGAAAATCCATTCTTACTAAGGTTATACTTACCAAGATAGTGGAAGATCCCTTTCTCACGTCACCGCCTCACCGTCTTGGTGTGCCTATATAATGTAAGTCCTCTACATGTAAAAGACATGTTCTCATAGTCTTGAGATCTCTACATACACTACACTTTCTTAGACACATTGATCCCTCTTTCTCTCTCCCTATAAAATACTATAATACACCTGGAGAATACTCTCCCCGGTGACTTCACCTATTAATAAAAGATCCAGGCTACTGTTGTCGTTCCCGAGAGTGGAATAGATTACTCGGACCGAACTACTATAAATTTTTGTGTTGCCTCTTATTTACTGTTTTGTCATTAATTACCTATTTATTGCTCATTAACTCCATCTGTTCATACACTTGACTGTTGATTTTGCACAAAAATTAATTTGTGCATCATCAACTATAGTAAAAATACTTTTAAATATAGTAAATTTCAAAATCATACTAAAATTTTATTTTTCGGTACCATAGGCATATCCCTATAATATGTAGATTCAATTTGTTAATTTATCATAATAACTAAACGAGACTCAATTAATATTGGGATCCAAAATCAATTGATTAACACGCAATCATAGAGGAAGGCCAGTTCTGTCATTTTAACAACTCCACACCGCAACCGCAAAGCTACTTCACAACATTTTTTTTTTTTTGGGTGAACTGAACTACTTTAAAACATGCCACCAACAATCACAATGAGTCAGTCTATGACCACCCATTGCATCGTTTGTAGCGTTTTTCTCTCTCTTCAGATTATGGCTCCGTCCTTCACGTGTCTCTGTCTTCTTTTTCAGTTAATCCTGACCGTTGGTGGAATACACGACCATCAAGACCGCCGGGGAACGACGCCGGAAGGTTATCTTCAAATGCCGCAAAACTCGCCGTTTAAGATCGTTTTGTTCGCCGACTTGCATTTTGGAGAGGCCGAAGAGACAGACTGGGGTCCAATCCAAGACGTGAACTCTACAAGGGTTATGTCAACTGTACTGGATATAGAACACCCAGGTATCAAAAAATATTTCTATTCTTTTGCGTGGAGACAGGATTTTGCACAAGGTCACACACTAGGATTGGGTATAAAATTTAATTGACAAAAATACCCTTCAAAATGGATATGTGAGTTGCACATGTTTGAGATCTGTTAAAAAAATGGAACGGGAACCATTTAAAACCAAATTCAAAATGTTAGGGACTATAAAGTGTTGTAATTGATATACCGGGGATTAAAATGACAGAAAATATAAATTTTGGGGAGCATTGCTGTATTTAGTCCAAGAAATTGTTAAAAACTTAGCATAGTGGAGGGGCAGTTCCGTCATTTTACACAACATAAGCCGCGCATGACAACTGGAATGTCACCGCCACCAAACGTTCCCATCGTCTGAAACGTCTCTCTCTCTCTGCTCACCAACAATGGCAAAGTCTCCGAGGATGTCGTCGTCCACGTGTTTCTCTCTTCTCTTTCACTTAATCTTGACCGTTGGATTGCACCACCGTCAAGTCCGAGGGACCGTGTCTCTGCGAACGACGCCGGAACGCAATCTTCAAGTGCCGGAGAACTCGCCGTTTAAGATCGCTTTGTTCGCCGACTTGCACTTCGGAGAGGACTCGTGGACCGACTGGGGTCCACAGCAAGACGTGAATTCTGTGAAGGTCATGTCGACTGTACTGGATGAAGAACACCCAGGTGAAGTTATCAAACCTAGATGTGTTGATTTCTCTAGGCATTGCTTGGTTATCTTTGATTGAATTAGTGTGGAAGTGCTTAGTTAGATAACTTCACCTGTTTAAACAATTTTTTAAGTTTATTTAGAAAACGAGCAATCTCGCAAAGCTCGGCTCATGTAAAATAGTTGAGACACTCAGTTGACTTGAACTCAGTTTATTTTCTAAACGAGCGGAGTTTGGACAATTTATTAGGCTCGACAATTATTAGCCCAACTCCAAATCTCCTGGAGTCTCGTGTACTGACTGCGTTTTTGTTATAAGATTTTGTAGTGACATAATGCATAATGTATTTATGTATATGTTTTGAAATTCTTGAATCATGAATGAGAAATTAGACTTTTAGAATTTTTAGTATAATGACTTGAAAATCATGCTTTTACTGCTACTTAATTTCTATCACCAGCTGTGATCGAATGACAGATTTTGTAATTTATCTTGGGGATGTCATCACGGCAAACAATGTACTAATACAAAATGCAAGCTTATATTGGGAACAAGCTCTCTCTCCAACAAGAGCCAGGGGTATTCCATGGGCGAGTGTGTTTGGAAATCATGATGATGCACCATTTGAGTGGCCAATGGAATGGTTTTCATCCACTAGAGTTCCTCAAATACATTGTCCTGCTTCAGCAAATCACTCATACTCAGGTGAGTCTGAAGTCTACTGACTGACAGTCATGCCTGACATAATTTCAGTTCATTCTCTTTTTTAGATTGTTACCAGTTTTGCAGGTGATAATTCTACATTTCAAATTCTTCCTTTGAATATTGAAATCTAATAAGTGAAATAAATTATTACTTTTGTACATCACAATAGTTTAAAATCAAAATGATACCATTGTGACCGATTTCTTGATTATGGAAAAAAAATAATGTCATGCCTAGGTTGGTCATGGCACGCGATGCTATGCTTCTCTATACTATGAAATCAAGAATCAACTTGTGTGTTGAATGGTATCAATTTTAACCAGATAATCAGCTAATTATTTCTTGTCCAAATTCATCTCATATATAGACAATATCAATTTGAACAGATAATCAGCTAAAATTGTTTTTGATTGGATGCACACAACTGAAGCTAACTGTTGTCACCTGGTGATTGTGTTATAAATGTCCTGACATCCATTGAAGTAAGTAATTGGAGTTGTGTTTCCATTTTTTAAGAAGTTATATATAGAAATCTTAAATCAAGTAACAGGGTGTTTGATCATGCAACCATGGCTGACGAGGATGCTCATCTTTTTCCCTCTAAGATCATGACAGAGTGGAGACCAATATGCTGAATGCTAATGTGGTGGCGAGATGTACCTGATTTCATGATTGATTAATTGTCTTACATATGCCAGGAAAAAGTGATGCTGTTAGATTTTTTTAGTAGCGTCTCAGAGAGGTCATAATTTCTATGCCAGGAGGAGAGGACTGCAGCTTCAGAGGCACTACACGTTTGGAGCTGATGAACTATGAGATTGAGCATAACACATTATCATACTCTAGAAGTGGTCCTAAAGATCTATGGCCAAGTGTTTCCAATTATGTTCTTAAACTTTCATCATCAAGTGATCCTGAATTGCCTGTGGCATTCATGTATTTCTTGGATTCTGGTGGTGGATCATACCCGGAGGTTATATCAAATACCCAAACAGAATGGTTCCGCCTCAAATCTCAAGAGATCAACCCTGATGCAAGGTAGATAAAATTGAACTCCTAGTCTCTGTATATTATTCTAACCCGAATTTCATCTTTTTGGCATAAGGTAGTGTGCATATGAACAAATTGCTAACTGAGTTTCTTTCTTGCTGTTGGTTGCCAAGAGAAGGAGAAAAAGAAAATTTAGAATATTATAATTTCCTTCTGTTTGATTTTAGCTGAACTTTTGGTTTCTAGTTTATGTACTGCTATATTGGTGCAAATCAAATGCTGGAAAGTATGAACATTCTAAATTATTCTTTTTCTCCATCATCTCTGCGACCAGGAGCATCATTTAATAGGGTGCCCGAGTTAATATTTTGGCATATACCCAGTAAAGCATATAAGAAGGTTGCTCCATGGTTTTATGCACGCAAGAATTGCGTGGGTTCACTTTTCATGGAGAGTGTTGCAGCTCAAGAAGCTGAACTGGGCATGATGAAACTACTTGAAAAAAGGCCTTCTGTCAAGGTAAGGGCACAGATTTACGTACATGCATGTAAACCTCTACTCAAGCCATTCAACTTACGATTGCGTTTAGCTGGTGAAAAATTTATGAAAATAGGGCAACCAAATGGGCTGGCTGGACATACATTGAACCACAATCTAAGTAGGCTTCCTGCTACATAAATGTATAAAATTTTATTGTCCATCTCTTGATTATTGTCTGTATACCTGTTCTTCATAATTGTTCGAATCTTGCTTCTGGATTCCATTCTCGTGTTTCCAGCCAGGCCTAAAACTTTTGATTACATGCAACCTCCAATCACTTGGACCTTAATATGTGAAATTGGGACCTAGAATATCAATAGGAGTTAAGTTTAAGGATGTTTGATTACATTTGGACACTCTGGTTTGACCTTTACATTTCTAACCACGGTGCTGGTTTGCCACTAATATCCCCCAAGGGGGTCCACATATTTGTAAGAATCAATACTTTGTTTCGTTTCCACCAAAACGTTTTGGTGGAAATGGATATTGAAATGGCTTAGTGATATAAAATCGAAATGCTCATGTTTTAAATGTTTCTGAGAGTGTTTCAGAATCCAAATTCTAATTTTTTTTTTCATTTTGTTCCCAAAATGTTTCCGTTTCCGAGCCAAACGAAACTATACACCGAAATGAAATTTTGTTCCTTGATATATGCCTCTAATAGATTAGTGATCATGGAGAATGGGGTCTCATGACTCTGAACTATTCAAAGGGGGTCATACTGATTTTATTTCCTTTTGCATGGTGGCAGGCAGTGTTTGTAGGTCACAACCATGGATTAGACTGGTGCTGCCCTTACAAGAAGATGAGGCTGTGCTTTGCTAGGCATACTGGTTATGGTGGATATGGAAACTGGCCTAGAGGAGCTCGAGTTTTGGAAATCACACAGGAGCCATTCTCTGTTAAGTCATGGATTAGGATGGAAGATGGCCATTCTCACAGTGAAGTCATCTTGAGCTCCTGACGATTGGGATGACAGTAATCAAAGAAAGAATCAGGATCAGTTAATATGGCTTTTGAAATTCAAGAAATAACAGTTCTCATGACTTGGGCATCATTAATAGTAGTGTTCATATTAGTTTAGGATAGAATTTAGTATTGTAATTAAGGTTGTATCAAGTTTTCTTGTAAAGAATTGGATTGTACCCATTTTTTTTGTGTCTTGAGGTTTGGACCGCAAAAATTTGTGTATATGGACTATGGAGTCAAGATAAGATTGATCAAATTACTTTAATAAAATTCCTTCCTATTTTCCGTCTTCCGTTATTCAAGCAAATCAGGATGGACACTACAGAAAGAACCACAGGGTACTCCAGAGCAAGCAAGTCTTAAAGAGGAGACACCCCAAACACTATCAATCAACGAATTGTTAGTTGCAGAGGGAGGTCCGTTACGCGTTTGTTACCTCTAGAATAATTAAATATTCTTTTCTAGATTTCAGAATGGAAGAGAAGTCACGCACGAAAGAAACTGAATTGGCCAAGCTCGATGAATGGAATGGATGGGGAAAAGACACCTGATTTTCTAAAAGATTAAAAATACAATTTTTTTAATATTTAATTAGGGATTTAAGTCAATACAATCGTAATAGAAGAAAAGTTTTGGTTCCCTCCAAACTTAATTAGGACGGGCACTTGTAGTGACGGCTCAAAACACTTTTTTTGTGACGATTTCACGTAGTTAGAAATAAAAAAGTGCTAAACAATGTCCCTATCACGAGAAAAGTCTTCCCTCACCCCTAACCCAAACATAGGTGGAACTGGATGGGATGCCCATCCTCAATTTACCTATATAAATTTAAAACATATTTCTAATGTCAATTCGCAATTGGATTCGGGAGATCTCTACACTTTGACCTAGATTCACTAATTAATTGAGGACATGGCTGCACCATGAGAGAAGAGGGCAAGGGTTGAGGAAGTGTAGATTGATTTTGATAAGAATACTCGATTTCAGACACCCTAATACGTAGAGAGTCACAGAGAAGAATATGTCCATTGATCAGTCATAATTGATTGCGGTATTAACTTTGATGGGGCAAGACCTTCAATCCTATGAATTTTGCAAATAGAGGGTGGATATAACACCCCAATCCGGAGATAGTACATCTTGCCTACTCTAGTAGAGTGGACCTCACCCATAAAACATAAACACGTCAACCTGTTCATAATTATAATAGACTCGTGATGCAAGCACCGTCCGTCCTTAGAATTTTAGTTTTCTTGTGTGCCATCGTATGACGTACATCATTTTCATTGTGGTTATAGTCTTCAGTTGGGATCAGCCATAAAACATTTTCTTTCAATACCCTACAATAACAACAAATACAAAAGATGTAGCAGCTCAGTACTACTTATTGCAGACAAAAGCCCTTTTGAGTTTAGCAAGTTAGCAAATAACACAATATCTTGGGTTGTTTGTCACAACCCTAGCATAATATGATGGCATGGGAGGAGGACATTCATTATCTATGTCCCCTGTTGCTGTCAATTTCTTCTCATCGATGTCCATGACGATCGGATCAACCCCTGCAAAATTGCAAACCAAAAACACTTAAACTCGAAATCTTCAATCTTCATGATCTGGGTTTTTGTTACAAAGAGTTCATTAAGTCTAATCACTAAAGAGTCATTAAAAAAATACCAGCAAGGTTAGAGGCTACTTTAATGGCTTTTTGCTTGGCTTTTTCATCCTCCAGCTCCAATTTGAATGCCTCTTCCTGTAGGGAAAAAAGAACAACAGAACCAAAGTGACCCATGTAGAGTTCTGTAATAAAACCCAACAAAATTTTGAAAAACTCCTGGAAGTTTTACGTGTGCGTATGTTTAAATAAAACGAAAATCAGAAGCCAACCAAGATTCATGACCGCAAGAAGCATAATAGGGATGTAGACATGGAGTAGAGGGAGATTTCTAACCTCCATTTTCGTTTGAAGTTTCGAGATCTAAGTTGAGGTTCCAAAGAAAATTGCAAATCAGGGTCCCGAAAAGATTTCAAGGGAAAAGGAGAAAGATTTAAGAAGCATACCAAACTGAAGGTACCCTGACAACATTTTATAATGAGTGAGTGACTTGGGTGAAGAGGAATGAGTCAACTCGAGTTAAGTTCACAAATCTACAATCAATATTTTCTAGTGATGAGCGGAAAAAATACATGTGAAGTAGACAACAACGTCGTTGTTGTAATAGTTCATATCTAGAATATGTTAGCGGCGTCGTCTTACATGTTTTGACTTTCTTTTAATTTTGACAAACTCTGACTTTTTAAGAGTCAAATTGATTAGAAAGAAAAAATTGATTGAAAGTAAAATTGATAAAAAGTGAAGTGATATAAAAAAAAATAAAAGGGAAAATACTTTTAGTTGTGTTTGGTTAGAATGAAAAATTTATAAGAAAATTCTAAAAAAGTTTTAGTTTATGGGTTGAAAGGTAGGAAAGTTAGAAGAAAATATTTATAATTGTCTAGATTATCCTTAATATTATATTTGACCAAATTTAGAAAATAAAAAAACATATGTTATACAAAAAAAAGTTAGAAAACCAAACAAGTTCTAAGACAATGATTAGCCCGACCTAGGTCGGACAAATTTTCTGGTTGGCCCATCCCATACCAAGCTTTTTAAAATTAATGAACTATAAAATAATTAAGGGTCTTTTTGATTAGGAAAAAAATAATGATAAAAAATGAAGTGAAAGAAAGGAAATAAAAAAAAATAATATTTTTTTATGTATTTGGTTAGCATGAAATATGTACTAGAAAATTTTTAAAATTTTTCTTTTTATAGTTTGAAAAGCAGGAAAATTATAAGAAAATTTGTATAAATATCAATATTACTTTTATCTATATTAGAGAGATTTATATTCAATAGATAATGACCAATGTCAGAGGAAACATGAGCAAAGTGAGAAATTAGATATGTCTGTTCAACTTTCTTGAGAAAAAAATTATTTCCTTGCACAATTTGCAGGAAACAAGAACTACATGCTACTAGAAAATTTTTTGGGCTTAAGAATTTAGTTTCTAATAGTTTCTAGCATTATCATCGTAAACAACTAGAAAAAAATCCAATTTTTTTCTTTTTCCTGTATTTTCCATCAATCTCTCACTAATCAAATGAAAATGGGCACTTAAATTATACATCATCACTTTCTTGTGATTTTTGCAAAAAAACAAAAAAAAATTGGTTATTTGTGATAAAATATTTGCATGTTGGAAAATTAATATTTCCATCGTTTTCCATTTTATGCTAAAAGAAACTTGAAATTTTTTATATTTTTATCATTATCCCGCTAAACAAATGATGCCTAAAGCTGATGGCCATGGAACTGTTAAATCTACTCACGATGCAACTTACATATTTGACCTCTCTTTTATTTTTGGCAAATACTAGCTTCTCAAAGTTTGCGACCAATGCACTTTCAAATCTTTGCCCAAAGCAACTTTATGGTCCGTGCCTATCTCTTCTTCATTGACGTCTTTTGAATGTCTGGAATATGAAAACGGTGATGTCTTACATGTTTGGAACTCCTTTTGGTTTGGCAAATACTTCCTCATCAAAGTTGATGGCCATATAGTTTTTCAATCATTCCACAAAGAAATTTCAAGGACGTCTAAAAGATTAAAACGACATGGTGTTGCATGTTTTTCATTCTCTTTCAGCTTAAACAAACACTAGCTTCTCAAAATTGACGACGTTGACACTTTTCAATCTTGTCACAAAGCAACTTTAGGGCTCATATATTTCCTTACTTTATAATTCAAAAAAAAAAGTGACACGAATTGAATACTTTAAGAACCGAATTGAATACTTTAAGAACCAAATTGATCAAAATCTAATTAGCATGATACCAATTGATGATTAATCGAATATATGAGTTCTAGTTTGATGAATTGAATATGAAATGATATATTTTGGTCAATTTTTTGCATATAATCCATATCAGCTATATGGTATTTTATGAATTCAAATTTGAATACACAAATACGTATGTAATTTTAGAATTTAACTATACTTGGGATATTTGGATTAGATCGGATATTTGGATCAGATTGTGATTACTCTTCAAATTGGATTTCTATGTGCGTCGATACAAATTCGATTTTTTGAAAAGCTTTCCTTGGACAGTTTGTCACAAGACAACATCTTTTCGTGTAGGATAAAACTGCATGTATCTAAACCTCTGTAGACTTTATAATAACAGGAGTCTTGTACGATAAACAATCTAATACAATTTTTCTTAATTTTCTTCGATAGTAAATTGTCCTGTGAATTGATCCACTTATAATTGATGAATTCCACTCTTATACTTTATTTGGCAATAAGTGAATTTAACCTCCCCTAAAGTTTAACGGATTGTGCAGGATGATTTTTGCACAATAAATGAGATAACAGATCTCTCTCTTGGTAGCTCGCATCCGCCTAGAATGTCACTTCAATAAAGGCCCTTGAGTGCTCCACTAGGAACGATGATGAGTTACGGATAAAGCTTTAGGGAAGAGGGATTGCAAATAGTGGCAAAACCGTCTGCAAACGATCAACTCACGGGTCAACTCTCAACGGTGTCCTGTCATTCAAGAAAGAAGAATTAAAAGGACGCCAGAGTGTTCTCTGATGTGATTCCTCCGACGCTTAAGTCAGTATTTGATGAATGGTTTAAGAATACTATTCTATTGCTTGGGCAAGGGGTTGCTTACCGTAGCTTTGAGCTTGAGGGTGTTATTTATACCTTCCAACAATCGATTGAGGCAGACAGTTGGTCCCTTGGAAGGAAAACATCTGGTTGGTTCGTAAAGAGGATAACATTTGGTGCGCAGACCTCAACTAGAGCGCCTACTTCTCTCTTCACCATGGGCCTTCGTAGATTTGCACTTGGGTCTCCGACTAGTTAATGCATACTTCTCGGCTTCGCTTACCAATGAATACATCCCATGTTTTTGTAGAATCATTTAATGCGCCCTGGGCATGGCCATGCACGCGCTGGGACATTTTTGCCAATCCCTCATTTGAGAGGTCAGGAATTAATTGTTCTGTATATTGTAAGTCTCTATCATTGGTCATTAATTACCTTTTTAATCATTCTGATTGTCTTGGAGAGGGGGACCAATGACTGATAGTCAACTCTGCTCCCAAGCTATAATGCTCGGAGGTTGTTTTATTTTGATCTTGGGTATGCTTGCCTCAGTTGATCTTCCCTTTTTTGGGGATCGAAGCTCATCATTTCCCATGGTGACCAGCTTCGACGTTGACTATTCACTGGACGCCGATGTGCAGCTGAGATGCCGAGATGGGGTGGATAGTTATACTGAGGAGGAATTATGCCAAGGATGATCCCGAGGTAGTCTTGGATCACTTGACACCGAGGTAAGCTAAATACTCTAGAAACGCAACCTGCCGAGGTCCAAATGACACGTGTTGCTTCCCTACTTGGTTATCAAAAGGTCCCATCACGAATCATTTAACAAATAACAAAAATTAGATCCAATATAGTTAAAATGACGTGAAGACAGAGGGTTTGAAAGCTGTTTTTCTCTACATTTCATTGCTTTTTGAATAGCTTTTTGGCTAACAATCAAAGTTATTCATGTCATTTAGACTTCTAACACTACTCAACTTGAATGGTTCCTTGGATAAAAAAGAAGAAATAATTTAAGTTAAGGTTGTTCTGAGGACAATGAAAATGCTGCCCCCACCCCCCCGAAAAAAAGCAAAGGAGTCTTAGAAAATTAAATAATAAATATTTTTTATCTCCATTTTAACATATTATTTGCATGAATAAACACTTACAATCACTTCAAACTTACCATTTCGTCAAAAAATGAAGATAAATAACTTAAACACCTCATTTTTTGTTGAAAATATGGAATGATTGAACAATATTAATTAATTCAGAGTTGATTCAACTCATGCACATTTTTCGATTGGAACTTTATGTTCTGTTTAGTATGATGGAAAAATAGAAAGATGAAAAATTGAAAGGATGAAAAGTTGGAGGGATAAATAAAACATCATGTTTGGTAAGAAAGGAAAATAGAAATGATGAAAAAGTGGATGCATTAACTTTTCTTCCAGCTCACCAAAGTCAATTCCTCCAAAATCTAAAGAAAAGTGGATGAAAAATTAATTATTTATGTTAAGATGTATCTTATTTGTCTATATCTTATGTATACATTAATTTTCATATAAAAATATAATGATAAAATATTTATATATATATATATATATAAAATAAATAACAAATAAAAAATAAAAAATAAAATAAAAAATAAAAAATTTAAAT